TTTTTTTTCTTCTCTTTTCTTTTTCTTTCTTTTTCTTTCTTTTCTATTCTATTTTTATTGTCCCTCTTCTACTTTTTTTTGAATTTCATCATGCTTCCCATATGAATCCAACTATTTCAAAAAAGGTTAACGAAGCGGTGTTGTTTCATGTTGTTTGCCAGGCTATTCAAATATAAATAACGTCAACAAAGAAGAAAATATACCGAAAAAACGTGCAGATAAAGCTTGATTAAATTCCAGATGTGACCTTTCACTGATTGAACTCGCAGAGTGTATTTTAGGGCCTGGTTGTACGAAGCCTGGATAGCGCTATCCGACGGATAAATCCTTATCCAGTGGATAAGTCGATGCTGTTATCCAATAAATTTATCCACTGGATAAGATTTATCCTTGGGATAGCGCTATCCAGGCTTCATACAACCAGGCCCAGGGCTTCACCAAGCTTCACCAACCTTTTTTGAAATAGCTGTATACACTTATTTCAATAAAGTTAGTCACCTGAAAAGCTACAAAGCTGAGACCAGCAAGGATTATGGGTAGCTACATTTTGTTGATGGATTTTAGATCTTTTGCCAGTTGCAGTCTCACTACTTCTGAGCCTCCTCAAGCTGCAAATTGTACCAAAAACTTTACTATTTTGATGTTAAAAGTTTCCCATGATCCTCAGTGATCTCAGCTTTCTAGGTTTTTTGGTGACTAACTTTATTGAAATAAGTGTATAATGTGTGCCTAAGCTTCACCAACCTTTTTTGAAATAGCTGTATATAATGGGTGTCGTATTATTCTTTATTAGGCTTCGAGAGGGCCTAAAGGTACTCCTAAACATTTCTAAATATGGCAATCAATACGTGCAGGGCAACAAGCCCTGGGTACTGATCAAAGGCAGCGAGGCTGAAAGGTAAGCATCATGTAGAAAAACTTCAGGTAATAAATTTATTATGTCAAGTTCACACGCTATCAGGGATTGGCTGAATGTTCTCGACCAATCACAGGCAAGATAATTAGATGTATGATGATAAGAATGATTGTCTTTTTTGAGGTGAACAAATGAAAATGAATGCATGAAAACTTCATTTTAATGGAGCGAACCACGGTCACCTTGTCGCTATTCAATACTAGATGAAGAAAATCTGCTTATATTTCGGTCCTCTTGGAATTGCCCTATTTCACTATTTTACACAGCTTGTTTATAAGGGGGACAGAATGGTGAAGAACAATAAGAATTTGGACTAATTTTACTCTGCAGCTGAATTGATAGCTCTGATATATCTTGCTTTGAAGCGGTTTTTATCCTATATAGATATATTCCTATACATAAGATATATGGCATTTGGTTGCTATTATTGCTTTTCTTAGTTCTAAAGTATGTATTGTTTTGTATATATTTTCCTTTGTGCTGATGCTGTTTTGGTCCCCTCCCAAAACCATTTGTCTTAGCTTTAATACAACAGATTGTTTCCATATACCATCACAGTTTATTAGGGCAATACACCAATCTAGCATTCGATGTATACCGCTGTTTTAATAGACCACCTTCTCATTTGCACAGCCTCGTTTAAAAAGTCAGCCATTAACAGATACCATTAAAACTACTCCGTGGGATTAGTCAAAACATCGGTGTTATTCAACATGCACGTTCTTTACATCAGTCGACAGATGACTTTTGCAAATGGTTTGCTCTTTACCGAGGCTAATACCAAAATGTAATTACCAAATGAGAAGAAACTCAATTAAAGACCTGAACTTAGCTAAGCAAGTTTGGCAGAAGTTTTCGTTTGACGTCTTCAATCCGCAGGTGGTGACTCGTGGATGATATATTATATCATTGAAAAAATCAACTACGCTTTTAAACACTTTAATGACAGTATCCTCCCTCGGTGTTCTGATTAAATAATCGATTAACTCGCGCCGTGCGACTGATAAAAATGTATTATCTTTGGACTCCGTGCTGTGTTCAGGCAACCGACCCCATCCCCGTATTCCGTATTACCCTAATGAACGATGATGAACTAACCCTTTCAAATTGGTTGACCAAAATAATTATCGACTTCATATCGTGAATAGTGCTGTGGTCGCAACACATTGTCACAGTACCATGATTAGACTGATATTTTACAATCTTATTGATCTTAATCTTGTTGGCGTTACCGGCTTTAGGAGCCAGGGTGGATCCACGTCATAAAGAGGGGGTTCTGCGTTCAAGGGGCATCCACCTGTACTAGAAGCCGAATCAAAAACCAAAAGCAAACGGACAGTACATGTTAAAGAAGAAATCGAAATTCTCATAGGGGGAGGGGGTGGGGGAAGGAAGAGCGAGAGTACCAAACCCCCAGCGGCCAAAACCTGGCTTTAACCTGGGTTCAAAGTGCATTTGTATTTCAAGGCGACCCAGTCTTAACATAATATACAATATATCCAGATGTCGACCATCACAAACGCTTTGAAATAATAATATGATTTCTTTAAAGTTACAAGTCAGTTTTGCTCGAAAATAATGACGTTTGAGAGTTGTTTAATAACAAATGCTTTTTAAGGTTTATTTTTACTCAGATTAAGCCGAGAGTCCGTACGTTGTTCTTGTTGAAATACACGAATGCGTAAACCTTTTTCTTGAGTGACAAATTATATTGTTGATCTCGCTCCCAAAACCTTAATTTTGTCGAGCACAAGCAGTGAGAAATAAGGGCTCTGAGAACGAGATTGGATTGGTTGTAAAGATTTTTCTGTGCCGTTTATTCGTTCATGACAAGCAATTTGATTTATTCTTTTCCAGGCATCGTGCTGGTACTGTTATTGGCGTAGCAACTAACCTTTCATTCCTCCTCTCTGTTCTCGTTCATCCCTACATGCCAGTCACTAGCCAGGAAATACGTTCTCAACTCAAGGTTAGTATACAATGATTCTGTTATTACAGTATTATCTGCAAGAGAAATTGAAAATTATTTAAGCAAGAACGACTACCCTTTTACAAGAGCTGTTTTCGCATGGTACGGTACTGACTTACACCACGTGCACGGTCGTCATGCTGTAACATTGAAATGGCTTCCCAAAGGAAAGGTTCTCGTATGAGTGGGAAACATACAGTTCTGACTTACAGTACGCGGTAGAACATGCCGTAGCATTGAAATTGCTTCCCATAAGAATGTTTATCGTATGAATGGGAAACATACAGTACTTTCTTACAGCACTGACTTACAGCACGTGTACGGTAAGACAGGCTGTAACATTGAAATGGCTTCTTATTGTCTTCCGGCAGTTGATCTATCACAGTGCATAGTTACGGCTACGGTACGATATGGTACGGAAAATCATACGACTACACAGAAATGTGTCCTTCTTCTAACCATACTCATGTCAAAACCGTTCTAATTAGCGTATCATTACTCTTCAAAGTCATGCATTTTCTATCAGTAAACGTTTTGCGTGTACTTAAATTCTGCCATGTTTCACGTCAGGTTGACGACGACACCAACGCCCTAACGGAGCAGTTCGTACCAGTTTTGAAGCCTGGTCACAAGATTGGAACGGTAAGTAAACGTTTGAATATATCTCTTTGGAAAGGCACCCACGAAATAAAATCAATGCAAAATTCAAAGCTCTTACACCTCTCGCCCAGGTATTTACCATCTCCTAAGTGAAGGTTTATACTTTCAATAATGTTAATGACTGTGACATTAAGTAAGGTATTTGAGTGTATTAGTTGAAACAGAGACACACCTTCCTGGTTGAAACTAGTAACGAAAGTATAGCCGAAGGGTTCATGTGCACACCCTTTACGTCTTGCATTCCGCATTAAATCAGTTTTTTCCTTGCTTTTAGCCCAAGCCGTTATTCCAAAAGATCGAGTCGTCTCTAGCAGAAGAATTGAGGAAGAAGTATGCTGGACAAACAAAGGTCACGGCTGAAGAACCCTCTCCGGCTCCGGCTGCTGCTGCGGAACAGAAGGACGCTTCTGGTAAATGAGCCGAAAAAATGAGCCGGCAGATAATTTACAACTGAAGGAAAATTTACAAAAATAATTTGGAAAATGTTTTATAGTTTAGCTGTGACAAGCAGGTCGAAATAGCGTGACTTTGAAATGGCTTCTCATTGCTCACGACTAATCAAAAAGCAGTTATAATAGTGATTGATTTTAGGGCTGTCCACAAAAGTTGCTCCAAAAACTCAAAAATGTTGCTCAAAATTTGCCAAAAAGTTGCCCCAAACTCTAAAAGTTGCTCAAAATTTGCCAAAACACTTCACGAAATCTTTTTTTACTACAAATTGATAAATTACCTATAAAATTTCCAGCTTTAATAACTTTAATAACTTTGTAGACATACAATATTTTCTTGTCTTTTTCAAAACTTAATGCAAAATGTCAATGTTACTTGACTACTGTTGTGTACTGATAACTATCGAAGCATCTGTTATGCTTCTTCTTCTTCCGAATGTTTTTAAGTGCTTTCACGGCCATTATAACATCATATCAATCCCGTTTTGTCTAATTAGTCTCAGGGAGTACGAGAAGTGCAAGCAATTTCCTTGCTTAGGGACTCATTCTTTAACCGTATTGTTATCTTGTGGAATGCACTTCCACTTCATATACGTAAAGCTCCCTCTGTAACTTCTTTCAAGAAAATGCTCTATGAACTCTACTTAGACAAGTTCACCTGTTTTTTCGACGCTTCTAGAATTCAGACATGGAAATCTGTATGTCCTCATTGTAGATCGGTTAATAGCTTTCATTGTTGTTAATATGTGTTTTGTACACCACTTTATTGAATTTTTTCCTATCAACTTCTACTTAGTTATTATTTTGCTTTGTTTTATTGGGGCGAGCCTCGATGGGACTACGAGTCCGTTCGCTCTGCCCCTCTTGTAGTTTACCCGTATCCGTTTTTTTGGATTCCCATTATCATTATTATTAAAAAAATTTGTATTTTTTTAATATTTATGTAATCTGCATGGAAGTCACTAATAAATAAATAAATAGAATCACTTGAGTATGCATTTGCCATTTTGTTTTAACAGTAAAACCGCTGACTTTCTGATCGCTTGCATAGATTACCACAGGCAACCCATTTTTAAATTTTACAAATTAGCTATTTTTGAAACTTTGAGCGACAAGAAAACAACTTATATTCTGTTATTGGGTCTGATAATTTGCTAGAACTCGAGGAAAAACTCGGGGGAAAAAAAGGCTCATATAGAAAAAAAGTTGCCCGTAATTGAAAAAGTTGCTCGAAATCCGGTAAAAGTTGCCGAGCAACTCGTGGACAGCCCTAATTAATTTAGGAAGCCATTTGAAATAATTTCAAGATAACTGTAGAATTCATTCCTAGCCGAAGTAAAACATAAGTGACTAGTTCGGCTTCCATTGATAGCAGTTGAATTTCAACTGAAGGAACTACCGACGTTAAATATAGTAGCTTTACCTTTACCTTTTTAGTTCGTCATGCATCGTTTTTCGTGTTTTTTTCTTTTTTAAATCGACATATATACTTATTTCAATAAAGTTAGTCACCAAAAACCTAGAAAGCTGTGATCGCTGAGAATCATGGGGAAATGCTTTATATCCAGCAAGTAAAGCTTTTGACACAAATTGCAGCAGTTGAGGATGCTCAGAGGAGGTTAACTTGTAACTGGTAGAAGATCTCAAGTCCATCAACAGTTATCAAGCGGTTGAAACATGTAAAATGTATCTATCCATAATCCTTGTCGGTCTCAGCTTTGTAGCTTTTCAGGTGACTAACTTTATTGAAATAAGTGTAATCTAGAGTCAAGAAACCAAGGTGTATCAAACCCTTACGTTATCTCGTCATACACGAACGACTCATGGCTAGCTAGTTGAGGCCAGTTTTCTGTTTTTTTAACTCTCTAATTCAGTAGTTAGCGTAATTTCATTTCCTGTGCATCTTGAACCTCGTTGCACTCTGAGCAGAACGCCAGCGAAAGTTCTTGCCACGCTGCATGCTCTAGACTGGATCAATGGTTTCCGGTTTTGCAGTCTCCATTTTGACGTCATTGTATTGACTGGAGTCTAAAGGACAGACACAAGGAATCTCTTTAAACGTTTCTTTTTTCAAAATAGCCGACAATCCATGAAGTTATAAGTTAGTCAATACCCATAAAATGATGAAGCTTTAACAGCGTAAATTTCAAAAAGCAGTTATGATCTACAAATCACTACATGACCTTGCTCTCGAGTATTCAGTATTTGCGATCCTTGTTTGTAGATCGTAGCAGCGTAACGAGCTATTCTCTGAGAAACACCGAGAACAAACTAGCCAGCCTAAGCCCTGCATTAACAACCGTAAAAACAGTTTTGGGTACAGTGGTGCGGTGCTATGGAACAGTCTGCCAAATGATCTGCGAACGGCAAACACCCTAAGCAAATTGAGACAAGGTTACATTAAGCTTATCATTTATTAGAAGTAGCATTAATTTGCACAGCACTCGTGAAAAGCAGGTTTTTAATTTTTTTATAGTACATTATTTAATATATTTAGCAAGTTTTAAATTATAGTATCGATTTAGTAATATAAAAAAGTATTAATTTTAAGATTTATTTATCTAGTATTTCTTTGTAGAATTCTGATGAGTTTACTGTGGTTAAATAAAGCTATCCTATCTTAATTCTACTCTGATCTCTGATCTATAGCGCGTCGTTATTTATTCTCTTGGGGGGGAGGTGTTGTAATATTCAGTATCTCCAAAATTATTCAAAACGATTTTGCAACTTTTTAAATTCGCAATAATCTTGTTTCTCGTATATCGAGTATAATTATTTGTATACATCTCATAGCAAATTTATCGTAGATAATGAAGGCGTAGCTATATTTTGATTTTTAAGCACTAGTAATGCAGGTAAATTGCTATTTTAAACTAACTTATTTGTATTTCTTTTCGAGTATTTTGATTTTACTTGATCGATTTTTCTGAAATTTTAAAGCTCCATCGGTTAATATAAAATGCTTAGATTTTTAAATTCCTAAAAAAAAGTTTGAAAAATATCTAATAGTTAATTTTGACACCAGTTCGCTGCATTTTTCCGACCCGAGTTCGAGAGCTCTTCAAAATTTCGCTTCGTGTTATACACTCTACGGCTTATAGTTTATAATTTCACATATTGGCATCATGGATATCAAATTTTGTTGCACTGTAGGTTAGTCGATCAAGTTAGCCAACGGGTACAGAAGCTTGAATTGTGACTGGAACTTTGTTGAATGACAGTGCAGTTGCTTGAAAGCCATAGGGATGACCTAAGCCTTGATTATGCCTTTAAAATTTACCTATTATTTTTAGAATTGTCATGATCACCACTAAGACTTAGGTCTAGTTAAGACGTCGAATTTTTGCCGCGTCGAATCTCTATTTGAGGCCAGGAGCCAAGAAAACGCCTAGAATTACTACATAAGACATCATGATCAGCTCTTTTGCTTAGCGCCAGGAGAAGGTATACGTTAACTTTGGTATACACCTATTTCTAAAATCGTTGTCGCACCAAGAGCCTCAAGTAACAAGAAGAGGCTCCAGAGAGAGAACAACGGTACTTTTAATTATAATTGATTTATTCATGGTTCATGCAAGTGGCTATAGCTCTCCACTAATTATCATGATCTCAAGCAGCCTTGCTTGGAGCAATTTGTGAAGTCAAGAAATAAAAATGCGCCATGAAGAAACTAATTACAGCTAAAAGTACCGGCGTTCTCTGCAGTCTTGGCTTGTTGCTTGAGGCTTTTGGTGCGACAATGATTTATGAAATAGGTGTATATACTTCTTCTAGCTTCAACGTAAAACTGCGCTCGACCTTCGAAGGCAATTAGATTTACCGCGACGCTTAGGCCCAGTTTACATTAAGTTTAGATTTCGATGACTTTGATACTATAGGACTAGTCATACGTTTAATGTACTCCACTATGGAAAAAAATTAAAGCGATAGATTTGACCCTCTTTGTCCCTTATATGCAATTAAGAGGCCGGCACCCTTCCTTCAAACGCGCGGGCATGCACAAATAAAGAAACCAATCTTTGAGTCCACATTGTGGGTGGACGTTATTAGATAAAATTGATGTCTTGTCTATTTTTCATATGGGTAGCCCCTCCTGCATCTTTTGAGTCATAAACGTCATGACTCCTGAATAGCTGTAGTAGCCAAACCCATACAAGGGTCGACAATGCGTACAAGTATTTTTCTTTATTTTTGAGCCACAAACGTCAGGTGGACAAATTAATTCCAATCGAAAACTTGATCAGCCAAACCCAAGGGTTGTCGAATATGTACGCGTGCAAGTATTTTTAGATTCGAATCAAAATGCGTCGATCAACGCAAACGGAATAGTCTAGATACAATCGCGGTTACCTAACGTCTACGTACGCGTTTTTCATACTCAAGAGATCGTTAAGAAGCTTAATATAGACTATACTCGCTGGTTTTCTTTAGAGGCTTAGTATGCAGGCAGAATCCGGCACTTGCTCAACCATGCAATCACTAACGTTATATTTCTATTAAAGGATTTGACATGACTTTATCAACATTTATTGGCTTAGGCTCAGGTCAAAAATCGAACTTCACATGAACCGAACCTGTTGCCGGTGTCATTAGGTTCGACTCATGTGAAGTTCGAAGTTTGACACGAGCCTAAGACTGTAATATTTGATATTACATAGTAGGTCATTGTAGTTTTCTTCACAGCAGGCAGATGCTGGACCAGTACGTGCAAGCAATCGCCCAAGGGAGCATGGATGCTTAATTAATCAGAATCAGTATTTGAACTATAAGTTGTTACTGGAATCCTTGAGAGCATGTGTTATAGATAGATACAAGGATGTGGTCAAATCAGCGTCATTCGTGGTTCTTAATAGCCCTTTGGCTCTTTCTTGATATTGCAAGGCACCTGAAGCATGAAGACAACAAAACAATAGCCATGGATAATGAATTAGGAGCTAAACAATCAATACCCTGCAAAACAAAAGCCCTAACCCAGAATACAATTATTTTTGCTATACCAAGAAAGAACCGACCCTTGTAAATACCACAGAATCCACGACTCGATCGACACAGCAGTTTTAAATTTTATTGTCGGCTTGTGTCCCGTTCAAATTGTTCGAGCTTTAGTTTTGTTAATAAATAAACAAAAGGCCAGTGCTGTTGTCGCCAAAATAACAACGGTATCTATCTAGTCCACTACTGATACAGCTACATTTCATCTTAACCAAAATATTTTCTGGATTCAGACGAGAAGTAAAATAAGCAATTGGCTGACGAAAACGATGTTGAAGCTAATAACTTGTTTTCTCTAAGAAGATCCTGCAACATGCATATCTGATCACAATTGACTACCGTACTTTACTTTTTACACAAATGGATCTCCTATGTTTTGCATTTAGCACTAAGGCATTTTGCTACCCTAAGCCGGTTCAGTACAAAAGATGTTGTAATAAATTAAACTTTACATAGACGTCAGAAAGCATGCTTGCTATGAGCAAGTTTCAAATTTTTCATGCAGTCAAGTTCATTTAAGTTCTTGCATTGTCACACCAAAGAAGAAATATTGAAGAAATATTTTCATATGCAGCTTAAATTCTTATTTTAAATTGTCGGCAATTTTTTCCACACCCATAATGTTAAAATCCTTAAAAATTAATTATATTTTTCAGAAGTGTGGGGCTATGAAATGCCTCTATCCTAAATTAGTTTTCAGTAGCTTCATTTAGTTTAGCTTTTTAGTTTAGAAAACTGAAAAGAATGAACAAAAAAATTCTTCCCGAATGGTCCCAGACAACATCACCTTGTAAATGACGATAGCTGCCGAGGACAAGCCGATTTCCCCCCGAAACAAAATGACGAAGAATTCTTCGATCAAATCGTTTCAAATCATTTTTAAAAACTGTTTCTGCTTGCATTCATTCAATCGTTTCAGTCTAACCGACCATAACTAATCTTCGGAAGTGAATTTTACGTCGGACGGAGACTCAGTCTGGTAGCTAGTCCGTGTGTCTGCACAGATGACTAACGTAAGAATAAAAAAATAGGAAACATGCTCCATAGCCCAGGGTAGGACGTGGTAGACGTGAAGGATTCTACCACGATACTATGGCATTTTCTTAATCCTCCGGAATTGTGCCAGCAGAAAGTCAAAAAGCATTTCAAGAATGCAAGGATGTGTGTGAAAAATGACGATAGAATTGAATCTATTTCCTATTAAGATTTTTACAATWACTAAAAAAGAGAAAAAGCCCTTATAGAATGTCCTTTAAAGTGCAGATGAACCCTTCAACAATACATTCAGTACTGGTTCTACATAAAGTAAATAGTTGATTGGTAAAATATTTCTTGATTTGAGTGATGCGTCTCTAAGTTATDAAGGTTTATACTTHCARTATGTTAATGATKWTGACGTCAGGTAAGGTATTTGAGYGTTTTTGTTGTAACTAGTAATACTAAATGCTGGCCATTTCGAAAATACAAATTTAAAATAGCTTTCATGTAAAGCATGAGTAAAATAATGATGCTTTTTAAATACTGTACCTATGAACCAGTTCAATTTTGTATATCAATTAAGCCTTAATAGACGTCACACTTATTAACATATTGGAAGTATAAACCTTCATAACTTAGAGATGCATCACTCAAATCAAGAAATATTTTACCATTCAACTATTTACTTYRTGYAGAAYCAGTACTGAAAGTATTGTCGAATGGTTCATTTGCACTTTAATTTATGTGTTATGAATCATAGTTCTTCTAGTAAAATTTAACAATTCATTCCAATCTTTAATTGCTTTGTTTCCCTTTTTTATAATCCGAAATAAAATGGTTTTTCTTTTACCGACATGCAGCCTCGAGTCCCATTCTGGGCACAAATTTTCCTTTTCACTTTATTCTATGTATTTAATTAATTAATTGTTATTGCTTTCACTTACATATATATGTAATAACATACTAAAGAGAAAGATTGACAGAAAATGAGGGAACGATTAATGCACCTAAAATAACTAAGAGGCTACAAAAGATAGAGCCAAACTCAATATAATAAAAAAGTAATTGTGGTTTTTCAAGTGACGGCAAGCTGCACTCAAATTTGTTTGAATTGAAAAAGTGGTTGATATTTTAAAGTTGTCATATCGTCATAAGTAAAATTTCAAAGTTTCGTGAACATTCCACTAAACTATTTGAGATATGATTTAACATGAAATTTTACAAAGAAACGTTTGTTGGGAGGCACTCAAAAAATTTGTTCAAAGTGTAAGAGATGACAGCGAAACGTTGTCTTTTACAACTAGTTTTCTTACTAAATTGTATACCTAAAATTACCCTTATCAAGTTTTAAAAATTGTAAGGTTCAAAAATCCATGCTTCGATTATTTCTCTGGATTATTGACAATCTTCACGAAACTTTACAATTTGACAAATATCTATATGAGCCATTTTACCGTACTCTTTTTCTGATAAAACGAAAAAAAAATTCGATAGCGTGACCACATATTGAAAGACCTGAATAGAACTATGGCAAACGTTTTTATGAAGTCAGCAGAAAGAATGAGAACAAGTTTTGGCGAGATAGAATGCTTGAGGCAGATGAATGTGGGCAACATTGGGCAAACAGCTTGAAACGTTTGCCCAACCTCTAAGCTTCACTGAATTATTGGGCAAACCCTTAAAGTAATTTGCTTAGTTTGTTGAATGTAATTAATCTAAATATTTATGGTACTATAAAAGTATATATATATTTGTTCTTACACGAATTTATTTGGTTTAGTTTCTGATGGAGGAAAGCCGGCAGAGATTGATAAACTCAAACTTTAACTTGTACATAGAGGCTATAAATGGTGATCTTTGTTTGGCCTGAAACAAGGCAAAAATTGGTCGCAAACAGGAAGACAACACTATTGAAGGAGACGTCAAATGGTATTTAGTCTAGTTTATTGTTGAGTCTAGCTTTCTCTGCATCCTATCTGTTCCTTTTCGTTTCTTGTTGCTAGAGGCGGGAAACGGGCTTTGTCTGTCTGTGTATACATATTTTCAACACGCGCGGACTGGCAGGGATACACTACAAACCATCAAATCCACCTGCCCCTGTGTTTTAAATTTCCGGCACTTTCTGTTCTAAAAGTATGATTAAAAAAGTATAATTAATTTAGGTCGAAAAACGCACACACACAGACAAAGAATTTGAATGACAGAAGGGAATTCTTAGAATATAGAATTCAATTTTACTCCGTGCAAGTTTCATTTTTATATCAGTCGCAGTCTTTACCAAGTTTATATTATTCTTGTCTTGTTAAACTTTGCTTTAGTTTTACCGTAAACGATGAAAATAGAAATTAAACACTGATATCAAAACACTTTAATTGAGAAATATTCTGCGATAGTCTTTTGCCCATAGATATATATCGGATATATTATACTTTTACTTGTATATGAGCCTATAGTTAAAGCAATGTCAACACTGTAATTGGCTATAAAACCAACGCATTACAAAACGAATATCTTTATATAACACCCAAAACATCATTTCAACCTAAGAGTCAGTGTTTAAGAACGTCTAAGGACGGCTATAAATTCAATATTTTAGATCGTCTTCGTGATACTGGCCTTAAGTACATAAAAACATGACTAATTTTATGACACCAACGCGCCAAGAAAAAGCCATTTTAAATGTGCCTAAGTTCGAATTCCTTGACTTTTTTAACAGATGTTCAAACGTGTGAATTCATTTAATGAGTACCTATGAATATTTGAAATCAAGTTAGAAAAGGTTATTGAAAAAGTTTTTCCGAAATTACAAGATGTCACTTAGTTGCCAAGCGAGTTCATTTTCATGATTTACGTGGTGTGTTTTGTACTTTTGAAACATTTGTCGTGTCAGTTAAGATTTCTTTTTCTCTTTTTTGCTCTTCTATTCTCTCATCGTTTTGTCTTTTTGTCTCTCTTTTGTCCTTTTTTCTTCCTTTCTTTTCTAAATAACTATCTTATAGTCACCAGCTTTCGTCAGCAAGCCGGAAATATCTTCCCACCAACAAAGTCCAAAAACACTTCTCTTTCTTTTTACACTAAAAAAATCTCACTTTCCTTACAGGAAGAACAAATTACATTTCTCATTGGAACTATTTATCTTATCTATATGGGATTTTCACACGTGTTTAATACAGCCCGATAAGAATTCTCTTTTATTTTGTACCGTTATCGGTATCCAGATAAGACGCCAACTTCCTTCAGAAGTGTCGTCGTCACAATGCTGCAATAGCAAGACAACCGACAGAGATCGCCACGGTTGAACATTCTAGATTTGATTATTATATAAAAACTAAAATTTCAGCAATTTGGGAAACTTAAATTTTCTCAGAAATGCAAAAAATTTCTGATGAAATTTCAAGCCAAAATGTCAGGAATAGTTTTTCGCACGAAAGACAAAGATATCCAGATATCGGAAGGATACAGCCACGACGAGTTTTTTAGGCCCTCTGTAATCGCGGAACATCATTTTGCAGACCGTGGATTTCCTCTTCCTGCCCGCGTATAGGTAAATTTAAATGTATTTGTTAATTCGCTTTTATAACTACATTCCCGGGGCTTTCAAGAGCATGGGTGTGGAAAACTATTACCTAATCTTATCGATGTCAAATGTATTATCAATTATGTAAGTGCGACTTTGGTGAACAACAAAAGCCAATGAACCATTGAAGGTTTTCCTTTATGCAAATTGTTGAGCAAACACAGTCTCGTGCCATTGTTAACGACTTGATAACAACCTATGAATGGTTGTTCAACGAGATACTACAGTGTACAGTAAATGACTCGATATTGAATATCATGTACGAAAATGAGAGAAAACTGTATACGTACTTGGGGAACTTTGCTGCAGTCTGACCAATTTTCGTGTATAGTTTTTTTGATAGCTCTATTCACAGTTCAGTGACTAGACACCACATTTTTAGCATATTACTTCAAAATCACTTAGTATAACGAATAAAAAGCCCTCGTAGTAGTGCCGAATGAGTAACCCTTAAAGTTCTTGCAGCTATTAGCACATTATCGCTTCCTATCGAGGTAGACCTGCAGCTATAGTACCATAGACATACTTATACTGACATAGCAATATTCCCTGGTATAAATAGTAACAATTTCGACCATGAGAGAAAATCTTTCATAATCATAGAATATTCCGCATCCACTCAAATTCTTGGTTGTATTTTACGTCATTTAGTGTGCCTCCTGTTCTTTATCAGCCGTGGTAAGCCTACCATGGATTGAGGGGGGCGTTAGTTTTCCCGAAATAGCTAAAAGATTATTGGCCTTCTAGCAATAATATGACGATATGTGCAGAGAATTTCTCTCTAACTTCCTAACTTCTGACGTAATTTTGCTTTATTTGCCTCGGACTATCTCCTCGGCAACCAGGGTCTATAAAAAAACATGGCGGGTTTACTTCGAGCACACACATTCCAGCCTGCGACTGGGACAACACCATCAGAGCTCCAATCACTAGCTACACTAGCTGTAAGAAAGAAAAAGGCGTACTCAATACAGAAGAGAATCATAGATTTTTTCGATATTATCATTGAATAGTTTGGAAAATTATTTCATTCTGTAGTTGGATCAACGTTCACTTATTTACCAAGAATGCATAAGACAACTTCAATGATGGTAAGTGAAACTCTCAGAAAATTTTTTAAGTAAATAGTGAAGTAAATCAAAGATTAAAATCTGTGATGAATTTGTTGAAAACACGAGGAAATAATTAGTTAATTGTCAGAAAATATTATCCGTAATCTAGATTGTACGCGAATTTAGGATCCCGACCTAGAACTATTACTAGGCTGTCATGCTACTAGAAAGTTTTCAAGTTGTTTAAATAGTTTAGATTTTTTGTGGGCAAAACACGAAAGTAGTTTTGAGATTTAGAGTAAAACCTGCATATTTTGTTTAGAGGTGCATTTTCTGCAAGACAGGTTGATTTTTATCGCTGACTCAACCAAAATAATTCTTATTTATCCTAGAACATAAACTTATTATTCCGTATTTGGAGTTTCGGCTTTGTGCTATGAACCTTATCCTAATTTTGTCGTTACATAGAAAAATATTTTTAAATCCAAAAAATTTGATCCCAAAGACTTTTTTACTCTTTTAGTCCTTTTGCAAAATTTCTCTTGAATTATGATTGGCTGATCAACCAAATCAGAGAGAGCCTGGGATATCATAAAGGTTTAAGAATAAGAACTCGGGGTTTTCCCTGTGTGGTAAAGTGAATTACAATTAGGGTTGACAAGGGGTCTTCCCTAATTATTTTATCGCGACTGGTTTCCGTCAATTGAACGCGGAAGCTCAGTAAAGTTGCATCTGGATGCATTCAAGTATTTGGCCCTCCTAGCTGTTTGAATAAGGCATATCGAAGTCACCATATTTTAACAGTGCAGGCGATCTTGATGCGGAAGTCGATAAGAGAGCGACGAGATCGTTTGCGTGGGAGAATTGAATTAAGGGTTTTCATTAATTATAGAACGAGGAATAAAATATCTCATTTGATAAGGGGGTAATCACCAATATTTATAAGTAGGTGTTTCTCTCGTAGTTTGAAGCTATATAAACGACGCTCACTAGATCGTTTTATCATTCCGAGCAGACATATATCAGGGGAAAGCAGTTTCTGACCACAACATCGTAAAATGGGTGTTGTGTCTTTAGAGGTACAAGACGAACCGGCAAACCCAATATGGCTAACTGCTTCGGTTTCGCTCTTAGATCTACTAACTGACTAATCTTTAATGTACTTTGCTTTTGCAGGCATTACTTTTTATCCTAGTTGCAATATTTGCATGGAATTGTCATGCCAGACCAAGTACTAGAGGAAGGGGGAACATCGAAGATCTAATTCGTAGACCAAATTCATTCGAAGAGGAATTGCTAGACTCCATTGTATTCAGGGACAGACCAAAAAGGCAAGCGATTAGGACTACTGTTAGGATAAATGCTAGATTACAAAGCAAATATGGATGGTTCTTAGCGATTAAAGACGACGGCAGTGTTAAAGGAACTACCTATAATAGTCCAAATGGTAAGTCGACTTTTCTCTTAGCCTGCCGCACGTGTATAATATCCTGATGTTGCATTGAAATTTTCGAAAGCGAGTCCCTATATCTTTTCTTTTTCCAAACTATTACCAACTAGATTTTCCATTTGCAAAACAATTTTTCTTAATAAAACTTATTGAAAGTACCAAATCGAATGGCTGGAAAAGCTGCATAAGCTTCCTAAAAAAGTATTATCAATTCAAATGTTGGCAAATTTAGTGCGAAAAAAACGTGGTTGGAAGTTTCAACCTGTTTTATTTGACTTGAAACCTGTTGTATTTGTTATACGAAACACATTTCAGTTTGGATTTATAGTTTGATTAATTGATTACCGATAAAAATGTGTGTACATGATGTTGGTGCATTGCAGGTGTGTTTAACCGACTTATATACGCGACGACACATGTACTATAATTCTGTCTTCGCCTTATTATACATCTTGATACCATAACTACCAGAATCTTTTTCGATTTCCTTTTTCTTGTTCAATTTTTTTAACTCTTGCGATTCGCAAGATAGTGTTGTTTATCTATTTGACAAAATGAGGTGCGATTCTATAAATGTGGTATTAAAATATAATAGGACTTAGAATGGAAAATTCTAAAATTCTAGATACTTCTGTCCTATGGGAATGGAAAATTGGTATGAACATTGCAAGTATTCAATACTTCTTGCAGTAAATCATTTTTGACAGTCAATTAACTGTAATTTCCCTACATAAAACAGAACATAAACTTAGTGTAATTTCTTTTTGTCACAGCTGTTCTTCGACTAGAAGTCGTTGGTAAAAGCTTACTTCGAATTTATGGCATAAAAGTGAAGAAATATCTTGCAATGGATGCCAAAGGACGGCTATACTCAACGGTAAGAGACTTTACTTCCGTAAACAACGCCTCTCTCTTTATTCCGTTAAAAGTTCCGCTCCAGCTGGTCATACAACTGAATGAGCGAGACAGTAGAGATACTTCTATCGTATGTTGGGTGGTAGCCAAAACAAATACTAGTTTTCACTATTGAAAAGATGTTTGTGCTCAACTACTTTATAATTTATAATATTCTCTAAATATACTTCCTTCAACCACAAAAGGATGTAGCTGCATAATGAAAATGAGATGTGTTTTATGCTTAAGTAAATATTATATCAAAATTTATGGCAAAAGTAAATAATTTGTAAATATAAGTATTTCTTTACAAAAAGTGGTGTAAAGGCATGACAGTTCTTTTAACGGCCTAGTTTTTGAATTCCAAAAGAGTACTTTTATTACTGGACAAATGTCCTAATGACAATTCGAAAAATGTGTATTTTCGGTGTGAAGGTAGACGAGGTTTTAACGTTATTTTTTTCTTTCTTTTTTTGTTACAGAGCCAGCTTAATAATGATACTTTATTCAATCAGTACCAGGGACCATTAGGTTTTAACACATTTTCCTCTGCGACTCATCTTAGCAAATCTCAAAAGAAAATGTACGTGGCTTTGCGTGACAATGGAGAAACCAAGAAAGGATCTCGAACGAAGGGAACCCATAAATCGGCACAATTCACAGTTGTAAGACTCACTAAGTAAATAATTCCGTGAGTGAATTCATATTTGTTGAGCAAGTATTTTTTAGTACTTTTAGCTGGCTAAAAAACAAAGCTAGAAGATTCTAAACTAGAATATTAATTTGTATACGTATAAGAAGAATATATTTATTTTGAAAACGTAATTAATAGATAATTAATAAATCATATCACTCGAGAAATTAAATATATATATCTATATAGAGAGAAAAATTCTAAACGAAAATCAAAATTATTATACAAAATTATGCATGTGTTGAAATTTGTGAACCAAAATGCTTTTTGATCGCCTCCGAGAAACGAAGAGTTCTGAAGAAACATAACTGTATTTTGATTGGCTAAGCCAGCAAAATTTAGAACCAATGAATTCAGTTCTGTTCCGTAGGGTTCGCCCAAATCTAAAGTTGTTGGCCTCAGACCAAAAGAAACGTGGGCTCTAGAAACGAGAACGACCGAAAGGAACTCTGGATAATCAGATATTGATTATTCTAAACATCAAACAACTTTACAATATATTAGGCCGATTTTGAAAAGTAATTTATCCCGGTAGTTATATAAGGAGTATTAAATAAAGAATTTTTAAATTGCACAAAGAAACATAAAAACGTGTTTCAAATTCAATTAATTTTCACTAAAAAATATAATTCCTTAATGAAAATGTTTCTCTCTTCAAAGCATTTAAAATATAGTATATTTATTTAATTAGCTAGAAAATATTTAAATTCAGCAAAATAGGTTTATATATGGAAGTCTTTTAGTTATGATTAGCTAATTGAATCAATTGAATTTTTAACATTTAAGGCATTTATTCACAAAAGACAAACCTATAAAATATTATATAACTTATTCAAAAAAATTTAAATCTATGAAATAATATAAGATATAAGAAGTTGATGATATATTGTTACATTATTGAATGTAGTTAGATTATTGGTAAGTAATAGTATTATAGTATTATCATATTTGTTATGTGTATGCCGTATATATATGGTATTTTTTTAGTAAGCGGTATTGTAATTCACCCCACAAAGTGGTAGATGTAGATCTGTGTCAGATGGAAATATGTTCTATCCAATGGAATATCTAATAAAAAAAATTAAATGAAGAATAAGGATTTTTATTTATCTTGGTTGTTCATGGAACACAAGTAGAAAGGGAGGGAGGGAGGGAGGGAGGAAGAAAGGCAAGAAAACAGGAGAGAAAGAATGATGGATGAATGGATGGATGGATGGATGGAAAAATATTTATATAGGCAGATGGCTCCACAATTTTGATGCAGCTTGTTACAAAGCGCGATCCCCAACATATTTTAAAACTTTATACCTAGATAACTTAATAATAGAATACCATTGTCGTTGCGCCTAGCTAGAATAAATGAGAGAAATTTCTTTAATTGAAAAACTTTAAAAAAAACCTTAAAATTAAACCTAGTTTAAGTAAAATGGAATCCTTTCACTGCAGTAAATCAGTAGAATGAAAAATGAATGAATATAATTTTTTAATATATAATTACCAATGAAATATCTATTTTTCTCTATTTCGAAAAATTGAACATGTTATTTTCACGTGTGAAGGTAATACCATTGCGATGGCTATTCAAAAATACACGGAAAGAATTGCCTGAAAAAGCCAAAACATACTTTCATTGATAATTATATAATAAACAGAATATTACATGGGCGCTTGGAGATAAATTTATCTTCTCGTGTTGAAAATCTCTCACTCGTTCGCTGCGCTCACTTGTGAGAGATCTTTTCAACACTCGAAGATAAATTTCGTATCTCCGCGCACCCATGTAATATCCTCTATTAATTTTGCCTATATTCTTTTTGTAAACAGCGCAGTTGAACATTTAATGCTAATTTGCGCTTTATAACCCTTCACAGTCCCCTGCGCCATCTTGAAAGGTAGCCGTGCCTTTGCATGGAAGCGAGACGAAGAGCTTGCAATGATAGAGACATGTGAATAATTGTCCAAGGTGTTAAAAAAGGGTCTCTATCATTACATTTATATGTACTGATTTAGAAATACCAGATAAAAGCTTATTCTCTCGTAACGAGCAAAAGGCAGACTCTTAATTCTTCGCACAACAACAAAAATTTCAGTGAAAGCCAAAGTTAATATTTCAATTTATTTTTAGCTCGGGCAATAACATTGGTCATCAGATAGTACTTATAGCGAGTGGGCGGAGAAATAAAAAGTACGAAGATCTAATGACAAAAAAATCAATTACTCTAGCCTAAAAATCGTTGATTGATTTTTTAAATTAGATTTCATGAATGGCCATAAGCACTTATTTTTCTGATTATAACAACACGTCATTTAACATATCTAGATACACCCACTTGCAAGAACGTTGTCATACGATATTAGAACATTAGTAATTTAGTGAGAAAGGAATACATTAAAAGACAAAAGAAAAAGTTCAGCTTCAGTGATCTTCTTTTGTTTTTTAATATAATTCCTATCCCACTAAATCACTAATGTTCTATATTCGTATGTCAACGTTCTTGCAAGTAGGTGTATAAAAAAACACACTGAGAAATCATCAAAAACAGAAATCATCAATCGAAAATATAATTGTAAAAATACATCAACATTTTGGTATTACTGCTATTCCCAGTGACACGCGACCAAGTGAGACCAAAATCACAAAAGAAAAATTGAGTTTTGGTGGACGTCAATCAAAAGGGTTTCTTAAACATGTCTAAGGACTCGGACTCCGAATTTCAAACGTTTAACTGCAAACTATCAGTATTGACTTATCCTAAATATATCCAGAGTGAGAAATTCACATCGACAAGAAGCATGAGATAAAGACAACGATTTTTTCACATTTGCACCTGTTCACGTGAGTATTCACATCAGTCCTGGTGTAGAAACCAATAGAAACGATAGAAACCCTTTTGATTGACGTCCACCCAAATTCAATTTTTCGTTTGTGATGAATGTCTGGTTGGTCGCGTGTGACTGGGAATCGCAGTAAAAATTTAGTAAATTAAAGTTCAAATATTATTAATTATACCGATTGTTGAAACGAATTAAAAACTATTGGTTGATAATCACAGTACAAAAAGAAATAAACCTTTAAAGTTACCAAAGACTGAAAATTCGCACCATAATGCTAGATAGATTTTTAACGAAATTTCATGCATTCTTTATCAGTGTACGATTTCACAACTTTTGCTTGGGCTAACTGTGGTGTACTCAAATTCGAAGTAGAGAAAAATATAACCCCCGTACCCTCCCCCATTGTTGACTCATGGTAAGAAGATTCGTACATTTGACGACATAGGATATTATAGAGAATATACATATATAGAAACACCAACGCACGCGAGAAAAAAGTTCTAGTGCGCGCATTTTTTAATGGATTTTTCACTCGTTCGTAAAACAGAGAACATTATCTTGACCTCGAATAGAATATGTATTGAAATCGATTTTCTTCGATCGCCGATATATTTTATTTCACCTTTCAGTTTTATTTAAATTGGGCTCCCTTTGTTTGCAATGACTTCGGCCCCGTCCACACGTATCCGGAAATTTTTGTATCCGCAATTGTTTTTTTGTGACCGTATCCGCAAATTCTACGAAAACGGACACGTGTGGACGGTGAAAACGATTCGAATACGCTGCGTGTGGACGCAAACATTTTCGTATCCGCAAAAAATAATTTGCGGATACAAAAATTTTCGGATACATGTGGACGGGGCCTTAAAATTCGAATGAAATTAAAGGTTCGTTTTCGTAAATAAGCGTCAGTAGCACATGTTACTGCAATTTTCACTAACATGCGAACTCTGTGGCCCCGTCCACACGTATCCGGAAATTTTTGTGTCCGGAAAATTTTTTTTGCGGATACATGTTACGTCCACGCGTGTCCGCAAATTTTTGTATCCGTATCCGGAAATTTTCGAAAACGGTCTCCAGAGTGGAAATTTTTGAATGCGCTCCTAATACGGATAGGTGTGGATGGTTGTATCCGCAAATTTTCGAAAGGGACTAAACGCTAGCGTGCATCAGGGCGGATCAAGAAATTTCCGGCGATACGTGTGGACAGTGAAAACGATTCGAAAACGATTCGAATAGGCTGCGTGTGGACGCGAACATTTTCGTATCCGCAAAAAAAAAAAAAAAAAAAAAGAAAAAAAAAAAAAAAATGCGGATGCCAAAATTTCCGGATGCGTGTGGACGGGCCCTGTGTCTCCGATTTTCACGCTGAAATTGGTTTTTCGCTGCCGCCAGTCAAAAGTATGAAAGGTACCGACTGATTAGGTTTGATTGACGGCAGTGAAGAACCAAATTTCAGCTTGCAGCTGTTATGAGAGAGAAAATAAATATTTTTACAGATTAATTAAGCAAGACATGAGTTTTCTAATTACCACTGCTCATCTCAAGAAGACAAGATAAAAATTATCAATATCTAAGTCCATTAGCTATATAAAAATATCGATATAAGATTTCAGCAAGGCTGCCATCACGCACAAGTTTAGATATTGATATGCATTGAATTCACAAGTAAACCTCTTAGCTCCTACCATTAGCATTTGTACCTCTGGTTACGCCCTACACAGTTTTAACCCCAGTTATTTTCGGATTATTCTCTAGAATCGTATGATAGAAATATTCCTCGTAGCCTTTTCTATACATTTACAATATATTCATATATTAACTTTAGTTTAAACTGTGTTTCATTACAAGATTTATTTTCACTCGTATTACTCGTGATTAGAATATTATACTTAGGTATTTACTATTTCTTTTAGCCAATCATGATTCAACGATATGATCACATTGATTATAGAATGACACCTGTCATAGAATTACTATAAATACAGCTCATGCAGTTAGTTCAATAGAGAGAGTAGAATAAAGATCCCGAAGCTCATACCGAGAGCGGTCGTCCAATAGAGTGACCACAGTAAATCCGTGAAACACTAATTACTAAATAGTACAAAATAGTGCTAGTTAAACAATAGAAAACAATGGAATTTGCATGAATTTGTGCTATTTAGTATTACTAAAGTTTTTAGGATTTACTGTGGTCACTCTAACTCAGCTCGGCAGACACAGAGTTCGCATGTTTTTGAAAATCGCAGTAAACTAAGAATAACCGAAACGTTTTGCACTTTTGATATTTATAACTTTCTAAAAATTCAGCGGAATAAAATTAATTTAAAGTCAAAGTCGCTCAAAGATTTGGCTTGTTGACTTTGCTAGAGGCAAAAGATTTAGAACATCGAAATCTCAATGAACTAAGAAGCATATAAATAACTATGCTACGCTCGTGAAAGATAAAAAAAATCAAACTACTATACTTACCAACCTTTTTGATATTCACCCTGGAAGCTTTGCTACTGGTCTGTAGAACGAAACTATCAATGCATCGGCGTTTATGTGATGCTGCCAGGTCGGTCCTCGAGTTGTTTATGCAGCCTGTAAATCTATTCACCTCAAAGGATGCATTAGAGCTTGCAATCTTTTGGCATTGTTTTAATGTATTTGGTACGTGGAAAGTTCGTCGACTGCGGACTTGTGTCTAATGAAGGCTATTGTCTTTTCTCTATTCAGATATATTGATTGTATTGTATTGATTCATACTCCGTCTTTGCGTCTTGATATGGTTTTATTGTTTATTTGATTTCTTTTTCTTTTTCTTTTTCTTTTTCTTTTTCTTTTTGAATAAAAAAAAAACAGCTTCGTGCTCACAAGGTGATATGGTGTGATCACGTGATAATAATATCAAACAAGGAAGGACGGAGCAAATACCATGATTTTTTGTCACCCTTAAAAAGAACAAGACGACAGACGAAAAAAAGTGGTATTATCCGACAGATTTTTTCAAGAAAATCGTGCTTAAAAGTATTAAAATTAGAATTGTTCACTTCTCTGGGCTACCTTTGCTGTTAATTGCAAGCTCCCAGTCCCTCCCGGTCATTATTTTTTACATATATAACAAGAGCAGGAAATAACATCAAGAGCCAATCCACAACTGCTCAATAAAACCAAGATTGGGTAATCGCTCTCATACACTTGCAGGTCGCTGAATACTATCCATTCTGATTTGAGGTTGGGTGAAAAAGTAGGCGGAGTTGCATTTTAGGGGAGATATGTCCAAGATGGCGTTTATTCCTTCCCCTAAAACAATCACACAATGCTCTGCAATGCCAACTCGACCCAGTTTTCCTCTAAACCTCGGAATAACTAATAGATCGACCCCTTGCAGCAATTCGGAATGCAGCTTCATTTGGAAGACATAGGTTTCCAATTCTCATGAGATTGAAATTCATTTGTTTTATCTTCCAAATTGAGCTGCTTTGACGTCACAGTAAGGAGACCATAGCAATGGCAAAAGAACGCCAGAGCGAGAGAAAGACAAATTGAACACGCCAAGAACAGTGAATATTCTTTATTTGTTAACTGTGCTACTAGTGAGCTCATTATTTGTGTCTTGAATATTCAAATGAGGAAATTCTGGATGATGTATGTTTGTACAAATCGGTGTATAAAAGCGCAGGAAGATTTTTAAAAAAATTCGCGCTCAAAAAGCGCATTGTGGTAGAAGAAAAATAATAATAATTGGAATTTAACCTAGATATTAAATGTGAAATGGTTGATCTGAGGCCAATAGGAATTGTGAGCGGTTCATGATGGCCGTCCTGTGGTGTTAATCAAGGACTTACATCCCAATGACAATAGTGGCTTCGCCTCTACGGGGAGTAGCCACAAAAAGAATTAACCATAGTGGTCAATTTGGATTACAAAGGAATTTTGGTAAATAACATAGGTCCAATATGGCGGTTTACAACTATTTCGATAAAGGTTGAAGAAAAGAAAAACAGCGATAGGTTAAAAGCGATAGGATATAGGTCATCTCATGTCCAAGAATAGCTAGAATGACTGGTGTTTTGTTATTATCATTCTCGTCAAGAACAAAGAGATTAATGTTATCATTTGAGACACTCCGATTATTTGTGTTTAGCATATGCCAACATTTCCTTTTTATTCAACTGCCAATCACTGATTACCATTTGCCGTTTGTCTCCTCAAATCTTTATGAAATAGCTGTATGTTGTTTCACATACAACACGTGATTGAAGAATTGCATACTTGCGTGAAGCAAGAGTACTAATTGTAGGATCGACCAAATGCAATGTTACATGTTATACTCAAACGAATAATATTTGTTATATTTAACGAAAGCTTTATCGAATTTTCAAAACTTCAAAACGGGCTTCAGGTCAAAAACTATTGTTCCAACAATCATTGGCATTTTGTGAATTCGATAAACACAATGCATTATGGTATAGCTTGGGTACAAACAACACCATATAAGGCGTGATGAACGAAATATACTTGTACTATTAAACCGATACTTTTCTCAGAAAAAAGCTATGGCTAAACCGCTTTAAAAGCGAAAATTATTTTGTTGAAATTTTTCAAAGATTGCTGGCAGGATCATTAGCCCCTTTCGGTACTAACATATCACGTAAAAAAAAAAATACACAATAACTAATAAATAATAAAAGCATTCAGCAAGATATAAATAGTCTACCCTAATGTCAAGCTATTATTCATATTTATAATTTTGATCCAAAATGCTGAAAGTTTTTAAACAGCAAAATGCAAACAGTTTATTCGTAAAATAGCACCAATGAAAACAATAAAAACAAGAGAAACTAATATGTTAAGTGCTACTTAGTTTTTGTGCTAATTCACGGATATATGGATTGCACTTTGAGATATGGTGCCGCTGCTTTAAAACTATGGATTTTTCTACAGCCATGCAGGACAAGGGTGTGGTCTACGTGAGGTATAGGCTCTTAAATGTAGTACAGTAACCATAGTGCAATGGGCAAATCAGTTGATTACTATACCTAGAATACACCTAATAGAGTGAAGTCACTAAACCCGTGAAATAGATGTTAGACTAAAGCTCATGTCAAACGTCGCACTTCACATGAGCCGAACCTAATTGAAAAAAGGGATAACGAGGCGGTCTTCTTTGATGTAGTTTTATATACATTAATAAACTGATATTCATTGGTTTTTTTGTGTGTGTGTGTGTGTGTGACTATTTGGCTATTTCACGTTGACTAGTATTCAAAAGCCTTCACTCTTTAATAGAGTTAGCTCTAGCAGTAAGGTCACCCTATCGTCAAATTCGAAAGGCCTAGCAAAAAAAAAAAAAAAAAAAAAAAAAAAAAAAAAAAAAAAAAAAAAAAAAAAAAAAAGAACAACAACAACAACAACAGCAAAAACGAAACAAGAGTTAGCCCTAACAACATCACTCTAGTGCTAGTAAAAAAACTTTTGTTTTCTATTTTCTGTTCAGGGTTCCTACCTTATGACAGACCGTTCATGTGAAGGTAGGATGACCCTGGTGATAGCAACAAGTTTTTAGTTTTCTTACTTTAGGGTAGACCCAAAACGAGGGTAACGCTAGCAAAGTCATGCGAACGCCCTGTTAGTGCGTAAGTACGTATTGCTAAGTCTCGGCACAAGTATTTTGAAGAAAATGTGATTTACGTTAGCGTGAAGGAAAGAATTTCTTATCTTTCAGTTGTTCGATCGGCAAATGTCCTTTGCCTTGTTGGAAAGAGTCATTATCCTTTAAGTTTTTTCGACGAAGAAAAGCCCTCAGCTCAGCCTTGTGTTTCTCTCGGAGGTTAATCAGTTTGATTTCCAGATTTTTCAAGAAATTTAAGGTAAATTCGCTCATTTCACGCACCATAATTTCCTTGTAGCTTTTCGCTGCTGAATCTGCTGCAAAAGGAGAAGAAAAAAGGTTGATTACACACGAAGTCATATGTTTAAAGAGCTAGACACCAGATTGAATAGGAATAGGTCTCTTCAACTTTAGCGTAATGTTTTCCCATTTCAGACCACTTGTGAATATAATATTCTTTGTTCGAGTTGCATACATATTTATGTGTCTTCTCATGTGTAAAATTTAAATAAAGAAATGATACTCTAGAGAATGATAAGTAGTCAATAATGGGAAAATATTACGCCAAACTAAAGAGGTAAATTTGTAAGTTAGTTTAGCAGAGGGAGGAAAACCCGAAGAAAGACTCTCAAGGCACAGGAGAGAACTTGAGCCGGAACGTGGGACGAATCTGAGACTACTGCTAAATGAAGAATTAGCAGCGACACAATCTCTCCCACGGCGGGCATGTCACCGCACGTACAAAATGGGATATTTTAGGGACATATATAGGGGATCCAGTAAAGGTCCAGGTGGAATAGACCTAATCCACTGCTTTCCCATTTCAGACCACGTGTCATTCCCTTGAGTATCATTATTTTGTTTAACAGTTGCACACGAGAAGACACATGAATATGGATACAACTCATGATCAAACAAAGAATCAAGAGAGTAACACACTGTCTGAAAGGAGCAAAACATTACGCTCAATTGGATTAGTTCTCCACGCCTTCCGAGTAGCAAAAGCTTTCGTTAAATACCTGCTAATTTGTTTTTCTTTCTCTTTCTAATTTGATAAAATATTTCCCAAATCACCCCAGGGATAGCGAGGATTGCAAGAGCAATGAGACTGTACTGAAGAAATCCTTTGAAGACCGAGGACTCTGGATCGAACAGACCAGTCGTTATTTCTACCATTTCGTTGACCTCTTCTTCCTATGTAAAGGGAAAACAATTTGCCATTATTAATATTATTAGCTGATATTTTCTTTGCTTGGATTCCAAAAGATTTGGTTATTTCTTGAAACGAGATTCTAAACCTTTAAAATAATCTTCAAATTCTCTTCTTTACCTCAGCTGCATTGATTTGTGGTAGTTTGTGACAAAAAGTTTCTTCAAAAATGCAAAAACTTAGTTGGTTTTTATATGGCTGTAGAGACTTAGACTTTCACTGAAGTACAAAAGTATATATTAGCTACAAACCGTTTTTTGTTCACCAAAGATTAATTATTTTTTCATTTACTGTTTTCATTATTTCGCTTTTGCTAGTTTAATTTTCTTTCTTTGTAATGTAAATATTATGGATGTGAGCCCCCATGTTAAGCTTTACAGCTTTTGGGGCAAATGTTTAGTCAAATATGTTTAAATAAAATAATAATAATAATAATAATCTTTAACGCATTATTATTATTAGCGAAAAAAGCTTAAGAAAGATTAAACACCTTGGGAAAAAAGGTTTAGAGCTATATCAAATAATACACCTCTTTACCAGCGTGGCGGGATTAGGGGGATTTAGGGAGATGCCACAAGGCACCAGTGACTCTTCTTTCTAGTAAGGAATTAGTAGATCAGTCAGTATAAACATATTATTGCTAAAAAGGTACATCTCCTTGATTTTGCGACCCCCTTACTCAACATCCTAGATTCTTGCAAACTTGTATACCATATCAGGCAATGTTTATAAAAAGCAACCCGTTTCTAAGACCATTCCTTTTCTAAGGACCGCATTTTAAGTACATTTGAAAAGGGATCCAACCCGACCCCTAATCAAAGGGTGTACTGCGGTTTTCGATAATCTGCGAACTCAGAAATTACAACTGCTTGTTGTGAAATTGGTTCACACTGCCGCCAGTCAAGAATATAATTTCTGCGTTAAGCTTGCAACTATCGAGTTTGCAGGATATTGAAAGCCGCAGTAAAGAGTCTCACGAAGCGAACCCTGTGACAACGCAATAGTTTTATTTCTCGAGTAACTTACCTGTACCACTTTAATAAACTTAGCAATATGAGCGGACATTTCTGCTCTATGTCCACTCATCCAGTTACGCGAACATTGATATAATCTGGTTGAACGGCCAGCCAAAACGACTCCAAATGTCGAAGCGAAGTCATAAACTTTGTGGATGCGAATAAGACCACCGGATTTCAAGAACTGTTCTCTCTTTGTTCCTGCTTCATAAGCATCCATTAGCATCCCAGTTACTTTCCTGTCCACTAATGCTTGGAGGACTTCTTCGAATGAGGTATAGTTGGCCTCTGTGGGTTGATAACAGTAGCATCACATGTAAATAAGAACATTCCTTAAGTTACAATAATGTCGAGGACCGAATCGGAGTAAACAGATAGTGCACTCGCCTCTCCTCTATTAAGTTCTCAGGTTTGAACTCAGGTATCATATGTGGATAGATAACGATTATCACATGTTAAGAGGTTGATATCGTTTTTATCTACGAGTTTCCATATCATAGTCAAAAAAGAGCAATATTATACGGAAGAATATCAGGCCCTTAACAATGTAATAATTAAGTCAAATAGTTCCTTGTTTGTTGTTGTTACATTCATAATAATTTGTCTTATCAACCATTAATTCAATAAATATGATCTGAGCTTTTGGCCTACTCTGCCATCCTCAGGGAAATGAAAAACGTTACAATTGACAAAGAAAAACGCGATCAAATCATGGCATATGTGAGCGCGCATTAAATTAAACAAAATCGCGCGCGCTTAGGGAAAAAAATATGCCATATGCCTTGGATTGATCGCGTTTTTCTTTGTCAATTGTAACGTTTTTCATTTCCCTGAGGATGGCGGAGTAAGCCGAAAGCTCTGATCATATTATGAAATTTATGGTTGATAAAACAAACTATTATGGATGTAATTATTTGTTAGTTACACATTCAGGGATCGATAAAATAACACAGTTTACTGCTTCCAGTTTACCGTGAAGTGATATGGTTTTGTTTAGGGCTTTATCAAGCTGATATCGATAAGATAAATCGCCAAGCATTTTGGTAGTCAAAAATGTTTTCAACACATCGTGCTTCAAACCAAAAAAAAACTCATGTATAATACATTTTGGTAGTGCTAGTAAAATGACGCAATCATGTGAAAGTTCTATCAATGGCATTCGGGGAAACTTTTATGAACAGTTACTGTTGAGTCAAGATACTCACCTGTGTTGACTTTCGCGTTTCTACGTACAGCAAATCTGTACTCTGGGGTGTCGGCTATCGTTGCCACCTTCAAGAAAGAAACCAAGATCAGAATAGAGAATCATCAACACACATCTTTACAATAATAGAGCGTATTCTCGCAATCTGATTGGCTGACAGCTATGATCAATAGGAGGACAGACACATAGAATAAGGAAGGTCTCGCGCACGGAGCCAGCGTGCGCATGAAACCGTTCTTTTAAACTGCGCAGAACCACAAGCGCAGCGACTCCCGGTTATATTTAAACTCCAAAGAAAGGGGGGAGGGGGTGTACGAGGACGACAAGCCACGCAATCTACCCTTGTGTCATGCGTAATTACCTTTGAGCCATAAAGCTGCGTACTGGACTGATAGACGATAGTAGTAAAGGCAGTAGTGATGGAGCCGCTAAGGATGCCGTATACAACGAGACCAGTAAGAACCCATATAACAGCAAATACTTTGGAGTGAGTCGCTGCTGGAACTTTATCACCGTATCTGATAAAATAACGCGCAATATTCAGAATATTGCATGGCATGAAGCAAGGGGCAGGGCAGGGCAGGGATGGTGTACAGTTGAAGCAGCTATAGAGGGGAAAACCATGAAATCCCGTCACTATAGATATCTGACAAGAATAGTATTCAGTGACAAGAATCGGACACCTATAACAGCAAATGCTTTGAAGTGATTCGCTCCATGATCTAATGATGCTCAGGGCAGGGAAGGTACAGTGTATACGATTGAAGCAGCTATCGATATCTTGATACGCTTATTACCAGCACCTTTCGTAGTTATGTTTTGTCACTTGATTAAAACAAGTATCAAAATGTAATAGGGGGGACAAAGAATTCTGGTCACGAACTTTAAATTTCATATACTGTACATGATGAGAGATGATAAATAGATTTGCAAAGTTATACTAACCCAAGTGTTGTCATAGAGATGAAAGCCCACCACCAACCGTTGCCAACTCCTCTAAGATAGCTATGAGGAAACTGCTCCTCGTTATAAGCTGTGTCCTGAAGAAAAAATGCCGAGAGAAAGAACATTTTAATGAGTACGGTAAACTAGGAAGGTAATTTTACTAGAGTGTATACCATATATCCGTGAAATAGTACTAATTAGTACCAAATAGCATCAATGAAACAATTGAAAACAAAAGAAATAGATGTGTTTAGTGCTTTTTTTTTTTTGTGCATTTTTTGTGCATTATTTTTTTGGTGTATTTTTTTCATGGATATATGGATTGCACTCTAACTGATGGCACAACAAAATCTATTTGTTTTTGAAAATGTTTTTATTTTGCTATTATATATTTATATAGGTCAATATTTATACAGGAACATCCAGTTTAGCAAGGCTGGTTTATATGGTGTCCTGAGATAATATACATAACAGGGATGTTCATAGGTATTGACATTGTGTGCTGTGGTAATGTGCCAACCAATAGTCCCCTTCACAGTTTCCTGCACCTTCTTGAAAGGTAGCCGAGCCTTTGTATAGAAGCGAGACGAACGGTGAGCTTGCAATGATAGAGACGTGAATAATTGTCCAAGGGTCTCTATCATTACAAGCTCGCCGTTCATCTCGCTTCGATGCAAAGGTTCGGCTACCTTTCAAGATGGCGCAGGGAACTGTGAAGGGGACTATTTAGTTTTTGTTGGATTGTCCTAGAGGTTCAAATCTGGTTGGCAATTCAAATAACAATCGCTCAAAACAAATCACGTTATCGTAAGCCCAAATCCAGCTACATAGCGAATCCAATATTTTAGATTTGGATGGGTCAGGCCACTCGTTGGTTTGAGGATTTTTTTCTCCGGTGTCTACGGTTTTACTCGCTCCGCAAAACCCAACACGCTAAATTCCAATTCCATCTGCGAGTTAGCCGTGCCCTGACTTTATCAGCCCTGAGGCCGTTTCAGGGTCGCTTAGGGGGAAAAATGAGATCAGAAAGACATACCAGGAACCAGATAACTATTCCAGCCAAGAGTGCCATCATGAGAGTAATCAGAATGTATGGCCAAGTGTCTATGATCGAGCTGACTACAGCTTTTAAAGGACTTTCTGTCTCCGGCTCCTTGAGAAGAAACGCAAACCCAGGTGACTCAACCAGTGGAATGTAGCGATAGATGCCCTGGTAACGATCTTGCCATTTCCACCCGTAAACAGGAAAACTGAGGTCATTAGTGTCATCGATCAATGCTTGGACGTCTAGCTCGTTGTGTTGAAATGCTGACATGTTTCTTCCGTTTTGGACAAAGTCAACGAACGATGCACCGTGTGCTTGACATGTTTGACAGCAATCTACTGTTAGGTTGTTGAGGATTTCTGGGATCATGCCTGACATGTTGATCGTCTTCAGATCCGCGGAGATGGATACGCTGTTGTATGGCGAAAAAATGCGGTAGTTGGTGGTGACTCTCTTGAAGCAACGGCACGTATCTAGAAAGAAACAAATTAAGTCAACAGTAGTTTCTTTTCTCCTTCATCTACAAGTTTTGCTGCTGCGACCTAGTACTCACGACATGTACTGATCACAACTCTGCAAACAGTTGCAGCTGTTCGGAGGACACTTACCTCCCCACACTACCCCAGAAGGTCCATTACCACCACGTGTGAAGCCGGATATTTCAACCTGGTAATGAGCGTAGTTCAAGAGACCTCCGATAACTGTCTCTACGGTGTCCTTCCTGACAGTGTAGTTATACCACGGTGCATCTTCTATAATTTCCTCCCCCTCGGACAACACCTTCCATGAAACTCGGTAACCAAGTAATTTGTCAATAACCGTATCGTCCTCGATTGGCTTCCATTCTACAGTTAGTGTGGTTGGAGTTGTAAAATTGAACGTTGTCACGTTGATTGGCTTGCTTCGGGGACCTGAAAATAATTTCAACCAAGTATTGGTCAGCTGATTAGTCATGAATACGGGCCAGAGTTTTTTTACAGGAATGAAAGCAGGTGTAACCAAACGTTTTTCGTACAAGCTTTATGGAATGATGATATAATGATGATATACAGGGAATTCGAGGTACTCCCCGCTATTGTATCAGATCACACCAAGTAAATAATTAACGATTGTTATAAAGCTACGAAATTTTTCGACATAACGAACACTCTCATTGGTTCAAAGATGACCACGTGACACTAGCTAAATCTAAATGTATCCCCTTCGGGAAATAAGAAACTTATTTCCCGGTCAAGAAATAAGTTGCACGTGACAAGAATGGTGAAAATAAACAAGTGCACGTGATCAGAACGTGAAAAAAGAGTGGCGTGATATTTTGCACCAATCACAAACAACAGAGCGGGAGCAGGTATTTTGCTGGAATTTTAAAATGGAACTCAAAGCAAAAAATAAATAAAATAAAACAAAAAATGCCCCGCAATGCACTGAAATGCCAACTCGACCCACTGAGCCACCGAGGTGAATAATTGTTTTAATATAATTTTAGACTTGACAATCAGAGAAATCTCGTCGCTCTGGAAAACTCGTCGCTCGAGCAGTGATTATCGTCTCAGAACCACTTGTCGCTCGACCAATCACAGCTCGTGAAATTCTGTATTCAAGTTTAAAATTATACTAATGACCATCAACACGATTTTCGTTGTTACATTGTATATCTGATATAAGCCTAACGAATACTAAGTAACAGGTCTAGATCGTCTAGGTCTTGGTCTAGATCGGGTCAGAGGTTGTTTCAGGATTCGTTCTGTGAGTTAGTCGTGCCTCTGACTTAAATCAGCCCAGAGGTTGTTTCCTGGTTTGATTTGTGAGTTAGCCATGCCCTGACTTAGATCAGTGCAGAGGTTGTTTCAGGGTCTGATTTGTGAGTTAGCCATGCCCTGACCTAGATCAGCCCAGAGGTTGTTTCAGAGTTTGATTTGTAAGTTAGCCATGCCCTGACTTAGCAGCCGCAGAGGTTGCTTCAGGGTTTGATTTGTGAGTTGGCCGTTTCCAGACTTAGGTCAGCCCAGAGGTTGTTTCAGGGTTTGATTTGTGAGTTAGCCATGCCCTGACTTAGATCAGTCCAGAGGTTGTTTCAGGGTTTGATAAAATGATATTAAAAATCCCTTACCCATTTTGTCGGGCTGCGCAAGATCAAAGGAGGCATTCCCGTCCCCTATCCTCGTAAAAGCCATAAGTTCAACAGTATAGTTAGCATCACTGTTCATGTTCTCTATATCGTAGTACCGTTCCGAAGCCGTAAAGTTAACAATCACGGAAGGCTTGTTTGGCAACTCTTTGTAGATCAGTCGGTAGCCCAGTATGATTCCGTTACGGCAGTGCCGCTGTACATCTTTCCATTGAATACGAAGTGATGACGGTTTTGGTATATCAAAAGTAATATAATGAGGGGGGAGACAAGGAACTGCAGATAAAGAAAAAAACAAAAAAGTTATAAATATAACTTGTGACCCCTGGGGCAAAGCAACATAAGATCAACGTTTATGACCCTCCACCCTTTTTCTAGGTATCGAGAGCCCCAGTGATTAAAAGTGCCCAAGTGCCAAAAAGACAGACCATTTCAAAGATAGGCAGCATAATGCTTCGGTCTGATTCATCATTAGCAGGAGCCCCCAGAGACGGACCCTGATTTGCCGGCAGGTGTATGGGGTTGCGGTGAGGGGTTGGGGTTAAGCGGCTCAAACTCTGAAGCTTTTATGGAGTTTTCGTTTAATACAATTTTATGGAATTACGTCCGAACCGTCTATAACCTCCAATGGTCTGATGACTTCGTACTTACTGTCTTCATCCGTCGACAGAATCGTTTCGTTCGTTCGTGGACCGACTTTAATCGTATTTGCCGCCACTTGAAGCGAGTAATTTGTCCATATTTGAAGTCCCGTCAAATTGAACCTGTACTCGGGAGCACTAGACAGTGATCGTCTCAACCTTCGTGCAGAAGCTTTTGGAACTCGAATCTGGTCTTCGTTCAAGGTGATGTTGCGTTCCACCACCAGTGGCCAATCAGCCAGCCAGTAGTAGATAACAAACGAACGTATTATTCCATGTCTGTAGTCAGGAGGAACGTTGTTCCATTCTAGTAGTATACTGGTGGAGCTGGAGTTTCGGATTGTCAGGTTAGCCACTGTCTTTGATGGAGCTGAAAAAATTGAATAGTTAACATCTATTTCAAAAAAACTTTGTCGGTTCGAGATCTGAGATGGGCGATCTGAGACTGAAAGGAATATTTGTTCTTGAAGGTCATGTTTCGTATTCCAATGTAAAAGGAAACTAGGTTGTTCGGCTGTGATATATTACAATTACAGTTATATATTACAATATTATAATATGATAAATTACATAGCATTATATATTACAATATAATTACAATTTGAAGCGTGCTACTCGGTCTTAGATTTCAGACGTCATATCTACGACCGACAACGTTTTAAAAATAGACGAAGATCGTTTGAGCGAATTAGGGAATTATGATGAGGGTGCTTTTTAATCTCGTCTTGAATTTCAGTGGGGATTCAAGGCATGGCCAAGCTGTATAGGGCAAGAGATAAGAGATTTTTTTTACTACATAAGAAAATATCGTGAAATTATTATTCTTGATATTTAAACGTAGGTCATCTTATAATTATTAGGAACTTGAGAAAATAAAAACATGGTGAATTACCATCAAGCGGCAAAAGATAACAATTTTCAAACTCGATTCTAGTTTCAAGTGATTTCCTGTCTCGTGCGAAATGTTCATCGGTTGAATCACAAGCATGGGAGTAGCAGATACAGGGGTGATTTTATGACTTCAGCTCCATGGGTTCCATAGAGAACCCCTAACCCTTCTGTGAATATTTGTAAAGCCAATCATTTTCTTTAGACTCAGAAAAATAGAATTGGAACCGCCCCGATCGCACCAGCTTTCTCTGCGTGGCGGTCATTTTGAAAGTCGTACTTTTTTTAAATTCCTGGCTAGGCCCCTGCACATGTATGGTGGTCAGTGTTTGACTATCACATGAACAGATAGTGAGATTCAAAGACTCATATCAGCCGACTGAAGCCTTTCATTTTCTAAAATATACATTGACTTGTGGGTATCTACCAACAGTTGACTTTCTCGTTACAGAAAAAATATGATATTTTACTGTTGTTATATTTCTTACCATCTTCAGCGGTTTTGACATACACCACAGGGCTGAGCGGACCTTCCTTTATAGTATATCCATATAACTGAACACCATATTCAGTAAACTTCTTCAGGCCCGTTATCGTTTGGGAGTGTTCGTCTATCGCGATTTCCCTGCGGCGTCGGCGAGCCAGATTACTGGGCCTGTATTTCAGGATTGTGGTATAATTCGAGGATGTGTTAACCAAGGCCCTTTCGAATATCTTGATGTAATACCATCGAATTACTCCATTTTGCTCGAACCTAGGGATGTCAAACCAGTTTATTTGAACGGATGTTGAGCTTGCATTCTGTGCCGTGATGTTTGGTGGAGGCTGCGATGGCGCTAGAATGGTGAAGTCAAAGCAAAAGTATTAGAGATTAATTTGAAAAGAGTGTAATTGGAAGTCGAGTCCTTGTGTGACAAATATGAATGATTTATAAAATAGGAAGGAAGGAAGGAAGGAAGGAAGGAAGGAAGGAAGGAAGGAAGGACGCAAGGAATAATAAAAAAAGCAAGCAAGCAAACCGATCAAATGACAAAGAAAGGAGGGCAGGAAGGAAGGAAGGAAGGAAGGAAGGAAGGAAGGAAGGAAGGAAGGACGCAAGGAATAATAAAAAAAGCAAGCAAGCAAACCGATCAAATGAGAAAGAAAGGAGGGCAGGAAGAAAGTAGGACAGGAATGAAGGAAGGAAGGACGCAAGGAATAATAAAAAGAGCAAGCAAGCAAACCGATCAAACGAGGAAGGAAGAAAGACCTTACCAGCCTCTTTGGTTTGGCAATACATGATCTCGCTTTTGTTGCCAGCACCATATAGATTAAATGCTGCTACACGAATCTCATAGTTCGTGAATTCCTCTAATGACTGCAGAATTTGCTGGGTCGAATTGTTTCCCGTAACTTTTATGACTGTTTCAGTATCATTCGTTCCTGATATTCTATAGTACACATTGTAGCCAAGCACGCGGCCGTCCGGATCTGGATTACTGTTGTTACACTCACGCCATTGCAGAGAACAGTTTCTTTCAGTGCTGTCGTACAGTTGTGTGACGTTACCCGGGATTCCATCTGGTGCTGAGGAAGCAAAATTATATTCATTTAAATATAACAACAAACTTTTAGAGTTAATCTGAGATTATGGATTCCACATTTCGATAATTAGTACCCTGTATCAGGAATTAGAAATCCCACTTCTTGAACTGATTTCGGGGCCCGTATCTGGGATACCTGATTCCACATCTTGGATTCTGTACCCCGTATCTGGGATACCTGATTCCACATCTTGGATTCTGTACCCCGTATCTGGATACTGAATTCCACATTTTGGATTCTGTACCCCGTATCTGGGATACCTGATTCCACATCTTGGATTCTGTACCCCGTATCTGGGATACCTGATTCCACATCTTGGATTCTGTACCCCGTATCTGGGATACCCGATTCCACATCTTGGATTCTGTACCCCGTATCTGGGATACCTGATTCCACATTTTGGATTCTGTACCCCGTATCTGGGATACTGGATTCCACATTTTGGATTCTGTACCCCGTATCTGGGATATCTGATTCCACATTTTGGATTCTGTACCCCGTATCTGGGATATCTGATTCCACATT